TACCAGGATCTCAGGCCATCACACACACTCTGCAGCTAATGGAGAGAGCTGGCTTGAAGAGGCATTCCATGAATATTGACATGAGCTAGTATGCCAAGGAAAGCAGGGTGGTCTAATGGATAGAGGACTGGCCTAAGATTTAAGGCTTCAGTTTCCAAAACTAAATGGTGAAGATGATACTGGCCCCCATTATAAAGCCCTACTGATGTTAAACTACATGGCTGAGCTAGACATTATTATTACTAACTGCCCCACACACATCTGAGAGGCAAGGGACCAATACAGGATCCCTGGCAGGGAATAGACAAAATAATGGGAAGGGACTTCAGCTAGCAGTGCTAATAGTAGAGGGTTTTACTGGAGGTTCCAAAGCTGCTGAAGGGGTTTGGATACCTTTGGCTTGGCAAATATCAGCATTTATGTTCAGGCTGAAGCAATCTAATCTCCCAACATTCCTGGCAGGTGGGCAGTCACTGGAGAAACTGAGGCTCAGAGAGATGAAGCAACTTGGCGTAGGCTATAGAAGGAGTCAGTGGCCAAGTTGGAATTAGAGCTCAGCTTTCCGGCTACTCAATCTCTGCTTCAAACCCCTGCACACCATAATTTTGAATCTGAGCAGAGACCAAAATGAGTGTCACCAATGCAGCACCCATTGGATGTCAGGGTCAATGTGAATACTGCAGCAGGCCCCTTACAGTCTGGCTCCAAGCCTTTCTTAAGCACCACAGCTGTATAATACATTACCAGCACCTTGCAAATAATTAGCAGCAATGCAAATGATCACTCATTAGTGTTGCAGGGCTTATTAGAGTCCTCTTCTCACAAGCTCAAGCGTACTCTGCATGCAAGTTGTGTCTTGTTTCTTGTTGACTTTGTTTTGCAGGTGCTTTGGAAGCACAACAGCTCCATGAGCCTATCAAAAGTGCCAAGATCTATCAAACCTCTACAGGGGCAAGCAAATCACAAGAGTAAGAACAGAAAAGAAACAGAGAGTCTCTGGCTCAGAACCAGGGACAGCAGAGTCCCTGCTACTGGCATCCAGGGGCTTGGAGTCGCAGTGCTTCCATAGTGTCTCCAAGGGGCAAAGGGAGCCAGATCTGGGCTCTTCAGCCCCCTGCAGGAGACCAGAACTTAAAACTGAATGTATTGCTAGTGAAACCAACCAACTGGAAGCTCTGGGCTGGGAAAGCCACAGAGAAGGTAAAGCCTGGACAAACTTTCCAGGCCTATCCTGCAGAGGCACCCCTCCCTGAGAGAAGATTGGTATCTGTGACCCATTCATGCCCCACAGAAAAGTGCCAGGGCTGGTCGCAATACCTATAATGGAAACCCGCCTGCTGTCTCTAAACCAATGCCACATAACCTTACAGCCAGTCAGTGATGTTGACTCTGCCAGCACTCATCCTGGCTGCATTAGCACCTTTAATTCTAATCTCAGTTCAGAAATACTCATGGCCTACATACTAAAGCCAGAAATGGCTGCTCTTTGCTGACACTAGCAGGATGTGACAGGGCAGCTATGTATTTTTGCATCTGTGCTGTGCTTGGACAGCACTTTAACTGACCAGTTCCTTTGTTTTGGAGCTGACAGCTGATGTTGAAGTCTGTGGGGATTTCTGGAGATGGGTGTTTTTCATTTCTGGATCTAAGATACATTGACTGTTTGCATGATAACAAAACCATATGTCAGCCTAGTGGTATACAGGCACTGATGGTCAGAGGACAGTTTGCCAAGTGCTGTTTTGTCTGTTCCTCCTGGAAATAAAGGATTGTTGGGCTCTACCAGAAAGCTTCCCTTTGCACTGCAGCCCTAGTAGTGAGGGAGGAGCAGAAAGAGCTGGTATCCAGCAGTTGTGTCCCTCAAGATATACAGCCACAGCAGCTGTAAGGTGCGCAGTACCAAACAATCCTTTTGATTCCAGTGGGAGTGGAAGGCAGTCAGGCTGACAGACACAGAAGTGCTATATAATACTGTGATGAATACTCACTTGAATAGAACCATTTTATGAGCACTGCACACTACCTTCTTGGCAACAGGAAGCTGTGGTATATGGTATTATTCAGATTTCCTATATGACAGTATCATATCCATCAAACTCAATAAAGGCTGTGAAAGAGCAAACAAGAAAGTGACACAGCAGATCTAAATAAGGATGCCCAGTACACACTTGAAAAACCACAGGGCAAGCTGTTAGCTTTAAGAATCCGGTGTCTAGGTTCTAAGAAATTGTGAACCTTATTTTGCTAAAATGGCACTTCTTGTGGGAGAAGAGAGAGTCATCTTTTATTTTGCTGGATCAAGGTCTTTACTGGGTCAAAGCACAGCAGTGCACAGTGTTAGCAGCAGTACCAGCCTTGGCTCGGGGACAGACAGGAAATTCATCTCCACTTCTTAGCCAGACAGCCAAGATGGTGGGCAGGACCTTGCTGAAGGCACAGTGTACTTTTGAGGTGCCTCGCTGATCAGGAGCATTAGCTCAGGGCCCAGAAGCCCTGAGACAGCAGCTTGAAGTTGACCAGGTCCACCTGCAAGTCATAGGTGTGTAGGTCACTGAGCTCACAGTGTGTTGCTGATGCCATCTGTGCTTTTCTCAATGTTTCCAGGGCACTGGCCACCTTCCTGCCATGCATGAGAGCCTGGTTGGAGCTGTGGTGCAGGCTGAAAGGGCGTGGGCGGGTTTTGGCTTAGAAGTAAATGGTGACCATCTCCAGGGGCTTGGTTCTAAAGTCTTCCTGGTGGCTGAGTGCCTTCTCTTGGGTGTTCTGCAACAGCTGCTTATCCTTGGTAGCCAGGATGGCAGTGGCTGTTCATCTGTCTGGAGCTGCCTGTCAGCACCTGTTTAGGGATATCGGCTGACACAGAAAGAGAGAGACTCTGAGGTAAGATGCTCGCCTGAAGTACACAAACCAATGGGAAGCCAGCCTGCCAGTGGCTTGCTGGGCCCTGAGCTAACAACACACAACAGATGCCAGCCAGCCACAGCAGTGAGGGCAGGGTAAGGATCTCAGTGCATGAGTGCACCTGCAACTGCATCCCAAACAGACTCATGCTCCTGTGTGCAGCTGTGCCCTAGCCTTTTGGGAGACAGGGTCTGACACGCCAAGTGCTGCGGTACTAATGCTGAGCATGGCCTGGCAGCTGGGCTGGTGGCAGAGCAGTCACATGACTAAGTAAGCAGGCCTTCCCAGAGACAGGGAATAGTAACTCTTAGGGAAAACCAAATGTGCACGCAGTCTTTTCCTGGTTTGAAGACAGGTTTTGTCCATCCATATGATGCTACATTTGAAGGAGGATATTTGGTCACTGTATTAACCACTGTCATTACCCTGGAGTAACAGAGGTTCAGAACTGACAAATGGACTGACGTCAAAGCAGCTGAGATAAATCCTAGGTGACAAACAGCCCCAGAGCCTGGTCTGACAAGTAGGCGAACCATCTGACTCCATCCCAAGAGACAGGGTGATGGCTCAAGGGCTGACACCTCTGTGGGGGAAGGGTTTGCAGTCAGACCTCACTGACTGGGGGGGGGGCATTCTGTCCAGTTACTGTTGGTCCACATCAGCTGCCATGTGATGGTTACTGTAGTGAAAGCATTGGTGTCTGTGACCTTTTCTAGCACTGCAACATGTAGTTGTGTTTTGGATTCCTCCTCCTCAGTACTTGCTCCTGAGGGGTTGCAACAATGCTTGTTAAAGTAGCAAATGCTGGGGATCATTCCCAGTGGGGATAGTCAGACCTTATATAGACGCAGTGATTCCTTTTCCATGCTGTACCATACTAAGCACTTTTATACTGGTGTAACCCCATCTACCCTCAGGGCCTGTACTGATCCAGGAGAGCTGATGCAGTGAACTGTTGTTATAGGTGGATAAGCTCAACATCAAATTGAACCAGCGCAAGGGCTTCTGAGTGTGGCTACTGAAGACGCTTGCAGAGAATCCTCAGTGTAGGTTTTGTTGTGGATGTAACAGTACCCAACAAGGTTCAGCAGTAAGGACTGACCCTGCGACCTGCTCCCCCTCATCCCCTTCCCCCCCCCCAGCAGTGAAAGTCAAACTAAGGATGACCCTGGCTGCAAGGGCTTGTGGGTTTGCAGCATGGCTCTGACATCTGTCAGGCAAAGCGTGATGAGAAGAGGTTGCTCTTCTCTGGTGACACAAATAAGTTACGTCTGACTTGGCATGTTGCCTTGCTGCTCTCTAGGAGCGTGGCCAACTCTTCAGCTACCAGGATGGAGCTACATCAAATCTGAGCTGAAAGCAGCTAATCTGGGTGGAGCTTCTCAATTGCCAATCTGCTCCAGGACTCCAAACCTTGTCCATTGGTTGCATCACTAGCAAATTGGTGAGAGTAAACCAAAGTGAAGGGAAACATATACATTCCTCTCCCAGGCCTTGATTTTCCTCTTGAATGGGGGAGATGTTGGAGAGCTGCTCCTACTTCCGCTGGACAAGTGCGAGTACAGTCTTATCTCCATTAGTGACAGAGTGATGGTGCCAATCAGCAGAGCAGCCCTGGGGAGGAACCTGTCCTGCTATGTGTCCTCCTCCTCCAGCTTATATCTGGTGAACAGCTGTGGTAGGAGGAGGTAGTGTTCTGGAGTAGCTCCCACTCTGAAGGAAACACATGCCAAACTCTTTGCTGGAATTTATCTTCCTGTTTGTGCATCGTTATCTCAGTCTCTGGATGCTGTGACTCTCAGGGCAATAACCCTTGTATCCCCAGGCCCCAACAGCTGTCCCTGTGCTTCACAAAGGCTTGCCACGTTATAGAATGCGGAAGTCCTGTCTGTTGTCTGCTGTAACCACTCGGGAAAAAATCCAGACAAGTAAAATCAGACCTAGCGTGGGGTGTAGTGATAGACATTATGGGCATATTTACCCATGTGCCGGAGTGGGGAAGGGGGCACTTTAATTAGAGCAGCTCTGAGAGCCACTTTAATTAAAGTGCCTATGGCATCACGTGCATTCAGCATCCTGTGCTTCAAAATGGTGATAGAGGCACTTTAATTAAAGCTCATTCATTGAGCTTTGGTTAAAGTGCCCCTGCCACTATATTGAAGTGCAGGGACTCTGAATAGACATAATGCAGAGGCTGCTGGAGCATGCTAGTTAGCATGCTCCAATAGACTCGATTAATCAAGTCTGATCTGATACATCCTAATTAGCATACATTGGAGCAACCGTCTGGCATGTGTATATGTGTCCTATAATTTAGAGATGCTCCCTGATAAAAGACTAAGGAAATTGGAAATTGGGAGTTGGTCCCTCAGTTAGGAAACAGCTTGTTATAGAGAAACAAAAGTCTGCAGAAGTTGCCTACTGCTGCACAATTAAAGTTTGTTGTTCATTCTTCTCATCCATTGTATGCTTGTGTTTATTGAACCCAGTAATCAATATGTGTGGACCCTGCAGCCAAGCAGGGAGCAACATCATCACTGCAATGAGATTGTCTCAGACTGCCCTGGTGAGCACAGTGCAGGCAGGAGTTAATGGTAGGTTTCCTGGATGGCTGCTGTCCCTGACAGTCATGTGCTTCAACAGCAGCTTGTCCCTGGCAGGCTTGAATCACTCTGATAATAGCACAGTGCCTGGAAAAGCCCGGACCAACCTGGCAGTCAGTGCACATCCAGCTCCACAATTAACTCACTCATCTGGGAAACCAGTCTATATGTTTCTTGGAGCAGTGACAATGTCTTCTTTCTCTCTCTAAAGTTCCACAGACTTTGCCAGTCCTGAAGCCTCCTGTCCTGGCAGTGATTTCCTACCAGTGGCGCTCAATGTAATGGCACTGAGTTCCTGTTTGAAAAAATAAGGGCAGGACCCACCCTCCTTGCCTGCAGACTGAATTGAACAGTTGGGCACCCACCCTATATAGTGCTAAAAAAGGCTAAATAATAATCCCAAAGTTGTTTGTATGGTTGGAGGGGTGATACCATCCTAATGAAACTTCAGAG